AACCCTCAGGGCAGGACAATTTCTTACCAAAAGTAAGAAGCAAGCACGACAAGATTAGGGTGCAGACTGGGGCAGGATTTACGCAGCGAGAAGGAACCTTCCCTCTCCCAGCGTTTCTTTCTGGGCAAGGTAGCAGCTGAGGACACGCCTACCTGCTGGGAATGCTTGTTAGCAGCATCCATGCTGAGCCTGTGGTAAGGCCAGGCTGGGGGTGGACAGATGGTTTTGACTCAAGAGGCAGTTCTGAAGTACCCAGGGGAAGAGAGATGCTAAGGGTTGAGTGCAGGAGGAGACAGAAGCTCTGCTTAGGTTGGGGACAGCCTCAGGCATGGAGACACCACTCCTCATTTATCACCAACTCTCCATGCACAGTCCCTATGCTCTCTTACCCCCCTCCTCCAACCCCCATCAGCCAGGCCTTCTTGCTAACTTCTGTCTTTGGAACAGGGCTCTCCTCTTTTCGTGGGGCTTTCAGCTCCTGCCGTGGTGCTCCTCCTCCAGCCTCATTTCTAAAAAGAGCAGTTCTCATCACTACAATTCCTCTTCCACAGCCTGCAGTCTGGATACCCACCCCCACCCCTCCCCCGCCCCAGTCTACCCCAATTACCTTCCTGGTGAGTATTTTCTAAGGCTCTCTGTGGAATGGGACATACTGGAGACCTCTTTCCTAAATGTCCTTGCTGTGCCCTGGTGACTACATCCCTGTCACACCCAAGAATGCCTGCTCCTAACTGGCAGAACTATTAGATTTCTTAGTCTTCACTCTTCCTTTTTTCCCCTACCCTCAGTCCCAACTTCAAACATGGCCTCACATCTCTGCACTGAATTCCAGATGATTACTTTTTGCAACCAGCTGAGTAGCTCCCCTAATGCCTTTTGTGGGAAACTCAAACCACACCTTTTTCCCCTGCAGCACCTCCCAATGTAAGCTTTAAAGACAAGCCATGCCCAGCCGCCTCCTCAACTGGATCTCCCTCCCCTGGGATCCTTCCAGGTCTCACCTACACCTCTTTCCTGAACCTACTCACTCTGCTTTATTTTATTGTCTGTAATAGTAACATCAACAGCAGAAGCACATCAACACAGAAGCTTTCTGTGTATTACATCAGCTAACTTGCAATAATAATATGATGGGAGTCCTATTATACAGATGAGTCAAGTTAAGTGGTTTACCCAAGGTTATCTAGACGGGAAGAGTTGGCTCCAGAGTCGCCTGCCTCAGCACTAAGCAGGATTTGTTTAGTACCCCTACGATCAAGGTGGCTCCTTGAGGGCAGAACATGACCCTACTGACTTATGATCCAGCCCCTCAGTGCCAGAGTAACTCCAGAGCAAGCAAGAAGTGTGCGAGAAGAGAGATGGAGATTTTCAGCCAGTGCAACTGTCAGAGCACAATGAGCCCTGCATCTTTTGGGGGCACTATGGGGGACCCCACAGGAGAGGAAAGAAGACAGACCATGAGCTGGAAGTATAATCTTTGAATAAAGGAGTCTCTCCTTTTTCTTAAAAAAAAATTTGTTAATAGTATTTTATTGTGTTTTTGGTGAAAGTTTACACAGCAAATTAGGCTACCATTTAACAATGACTATACATACTGTTCAGTGACATTGGTTACATTTTTCACAATATGTCAACATTCTCATTATTTCCATTCTGGTTGTATCCTTTCCATTAATCCAGCTTCTCTACCCACTCCCCCCCGCCCCTTACCTTCTCATCTTTGCTTTAGGGTAAATATTGACCATTTGGTCTCATATACCTGATTTTTTAAAAGAGCTCATTGATTATATTGTTTATTTCATGATCCAATCTGTTATTTAGCTGAAAGGTGACCTCCAGGAGTGGTTTCAGTTCCGAGTTTAAAGGATATCTCAGGGAAACAGTTGCAGGGGTTCCTCTAGTCTCCACCAGTCCAGTAAGTTTGGGCTTTTTTAAGAATTTGAGTTTTGTTCTACATTTTTCTCCCTTCTATTGTATCCCTGGTCAGAAGGTTCTGTAGTAGTAGCTGGGCACCATTTATTTTTTCTGGCCTCAGGACAGATGAAGATGTGATTTGTGTGAGCTACTAGTCCTGTAGTTTCTTGTTTGAGTCTGTTTTCCTTCTATTTCACTACAGATAAATAGAGACTAATAACTTGTATCTTAAATGGCTGCTTGCAAGCTTTGAAGACCCAAGATGCTACTCACTAAACTAGGATGTAGAACATAAATTTTATAAACCATTTTATGCCAACTGACCAAGTTGTCCCATGAGACTATGGTCCTAAACCTTCAAAGCCAGTAAACCAATCCCGTGAGGTGTTTGGTTACGTATAGGAAGTATCCTATGTGCCCTCTATGTGCTTTGTTATATATATGAATATATACGTAGCACATACAAACATGAATATACATATGTCTACAGACACACCTGGCGCAGTGGCCAAGTGTTCGGCTAACCAAAAGGTTGGCAGTTTAAATCCACCAGCCACTCCTTGGAAACCCTACAGGGCAGTTCTACCCTGTCCTATAGGGTCACTATGAGTCGGATTCCACTTGATGGCAACAGGTTTTTTTTATTTATAGATATAGCTATACATGCACACACATATACTCACATATGCCTTCCTATATACTTACATGCATACATATTGACCTATGTAACCACACACATATTTTTTTGGTTGTTATTGCAAAATTGCATATGTTATAGCATTTCTCAAAATTATCCCTTATACTTGTGTAATTCTTAGTGTTATCATTTATCTGGGTCAAGTTGTGCAGACTTCACCTGCATTTGGTATTGCCTTTTCCATCACCAAAAATAGTAAGTATATACTATCTAGAAAGTGATTCCCCTTCCCCCTCCCTCCCATTCCTGGTAACCACCAATGAATGTTGATTTCTGTATGTATATTTATTCTTGTCTTTTCTATAAAAGTGCGATCATACAGTATTTGTCCTTTTGTGATTGACTTCTTTTACTCAGCATAATGTCCTCCAGATTCACCCATGTTATGTTTCAAGAACTCAGCATTATTCTTTATAGATATGTAGTATTCCATTGTACGTATGTACCACAATTTGTTTATCCATTCATCCAATGATGGGCACTTAGGTTGTTTCCATCTTTTTGCTGTCATGAATAATGCTGCAATGAACATAGATGTGCGTATGTCTATTCATGTCACTGCTATTAGATCTCTAGAGTATATACCCATGAGTGGGATTGCTGGATCATAAGGTATTTCTATTCCCAGCTTTTTGAAGAAGTGCCATACCATTTTCCATAGTGGTTGGACCATTTTACAATCTCATCAGCAGTGGATCCCCTTTTTCTTTGGTAGAGTTGACACCCTAAAATTACCCATAAGCAAGAATGCCCAGAGGAAGTTCTCCCTAGAGGTTGCCAAGCCTCCTTTCACAGTAGTTATTTAGGGTCATGGTGTCTTTGGAGACCCAGCATCTGTTTCTTTGAGTGGCCTCGCTCTGCAGACTCATTCTGGTGTGGGGAATGGGGTCATTTAGATGTATTCCTGGGAACAAGCGGACAAGGAGCCTGGAGAGGGCAGAGACCTTAAAATCCACAGCACACCAGTTAAGTGCAGGTAGTTGAATATTCACCTCAAGCCTTAATAGATTATATCTGAACATTTTTTATGAGTTTGGACTTTCTTTAATTAGGTCCTTTAAGGGTTGATGTAACATTTTCCAACCTCTTATCCTCCAGCAAGAAGGACAATTTCAGTGGGTGATGGGACCTTCCCTCGGTTGCAGACAGATGTTGCCTTTTTCTATGAACAGTTTTTCTTTCATTGATTCACCCCTATTTCTCCTGAAGGACTGCTGTGTGATGGGCACTAGCTGGCAATGTAGGATGTGTCAGGAAATTGGAAGATTCAAACTTACACTCCAAACTCTCAGAGGCAGACTCATTTTCTGAAGCTGAGAGCCCTGCCACACCCATGCAGGTCTAGGCAGCACTCTGAGCCTGGATCATGAGGTAGGAGATAAGCTTCTGCTGTGAGCTCACACCTCAGAGCTTGAAGACAGACGGAGAAGGCCTCATGTTTCCAGACAAGAGGATTGCACCCCGGGGGGATATGGATGCACAAAAGTTGAGCAGCCATTTGGGGGCAGGTCAACCCTGATGTCTTTCAGGCCCTCGCCCACATGCTACCTTCTCCATAAGACCCTCCCCGACTGCCCTCAGGCACAAACTGACACTCCTCTACACCCCAGCATGGCATTCCCTGTTCTCTCACATTTTATTTTTTACACACTAAGAACATGCGCGCGTGTGCACGCGTGCGCGCGCGCGCACACACACACACACTTCTTATTATGGAAATTTCCAAACATACACCAAAGTAGAGAAAATAGTATAATTCCCTCCCATGTAACCATAGCCAAGCTTCGACAAGTACCAACCTGTGGCCAATCCTGGGTCATCTATCCACGCTTTTATTGTCTCTTTCTGTTTTGGAGAAAGGGGCTGAACTATTTGATGTACTAGATATATATTTACTTACTTTTTTTTGTTTATTTTCTCTTCACTAGACTGAAATAAACATGAAGGCAGGAATTTCTGTCTATTGAGTTCACTGCGTTACCCCCAGGGCCTCGAGCAGTGCCTAACACACAGTAGGTGCTCATTAGGTTCTTGTTCAGTGACTGAATGAATGTCAGCCAAGGCTCCTCCTATATGGCCCTGCGCTCCCATTAGCAGGGCACATACATCCAGCTTTGCTTCTCCTGTCATTGCCTGCACCTTCCCAGCGCCACTAGAGACAGGACGAGCAGCAACTTCTCATCACAGGCGTCTTTGATACCTTCTCCCATGATGGGATCTTATGAACCAGTCCCATAAGCAGACAAGGTGGCTTACATTCTGGGCAACATTCCCAAAAGGCTATACCACATGGCAAACAATACTAAAGGCATATTTCAGTGTGTGCGTGTATTTACAGATACACCGAGATCAAACCCAGGACAGGCACGGGCAGATGCACAATACTCACATGCAACCACGAAACCTAGTCAGGTCGTTATTTGGCTTCTCACACTCGATTACACTGGTGAACGTCAAGGGATTGAATTCGGAGACCTAAAATAATAGCATGCACACGTTAGAGAAGTCTGGGCCAGGTGTTCCATTCTAAAAGGCACTGGTCTGTCTTGCACCACTGCAAAGAAATTTCATGGAAGAACTATATCCACTAATCTTTGCAAAATGCCAATCACACATGAGTACTTAACACCATATTTTTCATTTTTGTAGTGAATAATGACTAATACTTTTATAATAAATGACAATTACTACAATAGTATCAGTTGGTAAGCAGCTGGAATGACTGTAGTTCTAACAGAAAATAAGAGCATATGAGATACAGCAAAGTGCACCACTAAAAATGGCCAGGAATGAATGGGTTTTCTACGAAAGACTAGAATTTTCCAATCTTCTGTAGAGATTTAGAGAAGCAAATTCAACTTAGAGAAAAAGGAATTTAAAATAAAATACCATTTCCCAAATTACTCTAAATTTCCCACAGATATTTGATGAAAAAGATTTAAAGAACTCATGTGTAAAACAACAATTTATTATTCTTCTTGATTAAAAATGACAGCTCACCACAAAGAAAGCCTTTAATTTTGAATTTTGCCATTGATAGATATAACACTGCTTTGTATAGATTAGAAGTTCAGGAGTGGGGGAAGAGGGGAGGGGAAAAGGAAAGACAGGAACCAAGCCTTTAGTATAAATCCAAAAAAAATAAACCTGTTGCTTTCAAGTCCATTCCAACTCATGGCGACGCCATGTGCTACAGAGTAGAACTGCTCCATAGGGCTTTCTTGGATATAATCTTTGTGGAAGCAGACCACCAGGCCTTTCTTCCGTGGAGACACTGGGTGGATTCAAACCACCAACCTTTAGGTTAGCAGCTGAGGGCAAACCAGTTGTACCACCCAGAGACCTTTGGCATAAATAACTGAGTATAATTATTTTTTTTTTTTTTTTAGTCGGCTCTTTCTTCTCTAGCCTATCATTCTCTTTTCTCTGTTAAGTGTCACAACAGAGTCAAAAATCAAAGTGTCTTTGCTCACACAAAAAATATTATCACAAAAAAAATAAGGGGATAAAAGCCACAGAAATGCTATAACCATTGTTTCCACCATCTCACGTACTGATTGCTATACCACAGCAACGCATTTCTCTGCAGAGAACAGTCATAAAAGTAAGGACTCCGAAATTCAGTTTCACTGTTTTCCAGTGCATCATGTATATTAAAAGGAGGACTCACTAGAAAATAGTAGCCCAATGCAATAACTGAAATTAAAGTGCTACTTTAATAGGTTCTTCTTGAAAATTAGAAATCAGTCCTTCTCTCCTTGGACATAAATGGCCTCATGCTCTATTTTCAGAGTGAGGCTGCTTCAAGGAGGCTGACTTATTCAAAGTGGTGAACATTATCTTGAAACCAGTTCACTGCGTTCCCAGGCAGACCTTCACAGACACGCAGTCCCGGATGGCCATGAAGGTAGTGGGTTCCAGGGCACACCAGGATTATCCCTGGCAGACAAGGAGGGCAGACTTAAAATACTTCATCTCTGTTTATTATTCTTTCTCAGAAAAGATGGCGTGCATGGCCCTCAAACGGCAGGACGTTCCGTCCCTGGGACTTCATGACTGCATCTGTGATGCTGTGCCAGCCATCATGTGACGTGGGATATGTGCACACCCAGGGTAGAAATAACAGCCAACTTCCTCTGCTTCCTAAAAAGAAGCGGTGGGCTAACCCAGTTCATGTTGCTTCTGCTGATGGGCAAGGACACGGCACGTTGTAGACCCACGGTGCACATGCAGAGCATTCACTAGTACACAGCCAGTGGGGACTCTGCCTTATTCCCTGAGTGGAAATCTCAGAGACATCACCTATCTTGGTCTCTGGAGACCACACAGTCACGTGAGTCCTGGTGAGAAAGGGCTCTGAGCATAGCAGACATGCTCATCACCCCCCTCCCCAGGAGCCAAGCAAGGCCACCGTCCTCACCCACAGTTAGACATGGAAAACATAGCTCCTTTTGCCCTCTGCATCTGGGAACTTGCCTGAGAATGTCCTTTGCCTAGCCTGTCATGCTAGTCCTAGGTCGCAGGCACCCAAGGGTCCCCTCCCCCTTCCCACTGTGATGGGATCACCCTCCACTGGCCTTTGGAGCTCCCATGTGGTCGTATGCAGTGCCTCCAACTGGTCTACCTGGATTTAGTCTTACTTCCTTGACAGGTCTGTCACTGGCCCTGCAGAACCACAGTGATCCAAAAGGCCAATCTGACCACAGTAGGACCCTGCTCTGACAATACTTCGAGACTGCTGCTCCCACCCAGGGTGAAACCCTCTGCCCAAATCACTGAGCTCACCTCGCTGCTGCTGGTCCTCCAAGCACCTATTCCTGCCACCCCAGATGACCTGGCTAGGCCCAGACCCACATCTTTCCGCACAGCTTTCCTGTGCGACCCTATCCCATCGTTGGGAAAACTGCCGCTTGCATTTCAGGATGTGACGCCCAGTGCATATTTTCTGGAAAAGCTTTCTGACTGTAGGCTGGTGCTGCTCCTCTGAGCTTGTCTGGCCCCTCACAAACACCAAACCTCATGCTTCCCTGGGCATGGCTGGTGCTGGACCTGTCCCTCCTTCACCAGACCACAGGTTCCCCTGAGACCAACACAGAGCCTGGCATGTACACAGCCAAGGGTGATAAATTCTGGATGGATCTAACATGCCATGTTGTCCTCAGCCAGGCACCCTTTAACCCCACACGGGGAGATGGGATGGCCAAGGAGGGCCTGGCAGTTCTGGAAAACATCCCTTCTCAGATGTTCCAGAAAGCACAACCCCTCTTCTACAAGTAAAAGCACACTTTCACTTGGTGGCATATAGAACAATTTCTTCACAGCCTCTAACCTAGCTACTTACTTATTGAGAAGGGTGAAAAACACTATAATTAATTCAGGCAAAGCATTTTAGCCCAAATTAATGGAATAATTACCCTAACTCTTGTTTCACACTTTTGATTTGATTTGTATTCACCACATGCTATTGGTGCTGCTATAGGTTCTACTCAGCTCTATAGGGTTGCTATGAGTCAGAATAGACTCAATGGCAATGGGTTTTTGGTTTTTGTATTGGTCCTATGGGAATTCTAAGGTGGGCAGGCAGTCCAACACTGAATGAATGAATAAATGAATGAACTTAATAATTCACTGAAAGATGCTATCACCAAATCAACATTTTCAGTCCACCGACCTAAAATAGAAAAGAAATACTGCCTGCCGTTCTCACCACAATGTCCCCTGCACAGAATGGGTGCTCAGGCAATGTTTATTAAGTGAATAAATACCTGAATAAACCTGTATGCAGTCTTTCCTGGTAGGGGGAGACATCAAACAAATAAGGGGCTGTCAGTCAGAGTAACCTTTTCTCCATTTTCATGGAGTCAGTGCCCAGATACAAATACTAAATAGAAGTGATCACAAACAGACCTAAACACCTACTGAATCTACAATTGAAATAGTTGTGATTGTATTATCTAAGGTGTTCTAAATATATTAGTACCCAGTAGACTGTGAGTGTATTATCTAAGGTGTTCTAAATGTATCGGCACACAATAGATTGTGAGTGTATTATCTAAGGTGTTCTAAGTACACCAGTACGTGATTGTTAAATTGTGGTTGTATTATTTATGGTGTTCAAAGTATACTAGTACACAACTGATAAATTGTGGTTGTATTATTTAAGGTGTTTTAAGCATATAAGTGTATATTAGATTGTGATTACATTATCCATGGTGTTCTAAGTGTATCAGCACACACAGAGCCTAGCAGCCAATCACAAAGCACTCTGTTTGGCACAGTGCAGCACCGGGCTATTGTGTAAGCTGCCACACTTACCTGTATTCTTTCCTAACACCTTCACTATTTCAACTGTAACAGCTGATGGGGGTTGGGCATCAGGGCCACAACTTTCCTGGGGCTCCCTCAGTCAATCTGCATCCTGGAGGAAGCTTCTAGAAGCTCAATGCCCTTCTGACAGCTTCTAGAGAAACCATCAAGGGGTGTCAGTTTTGCTGTCTCTTTTTTATGATTGCCAAGGCTTCCTGTCATAAGTACAAACATTTCAGATCAAGTAGCCTCTTCCTTGTTTGAAAGTAGAAGACAATGCTCCACTTGTTAAATCCAACTTGAAAATCCACGTGTCAGCCACCTCCCTTTCCCTGCATTTCCGTCCTTTGTTCCCTTACCTCCTTGCTGTCTCACATTCAAAAGCCTGAGAGCTTTTGGTGGCAAAGCTCAAAGGCTCCAAGTGTCGGGTTTGAGCTTGGATTTTCAAAATCAAGTCTTTCTCTCCATATTGGCCATGGTGCCTAACGCCACTGTAGTGGGCGCTGGCTGTCAGCAGAACCCCACTTTTCCTTTGATTACATGTTTGTACACGTATCTAAGGACTGGCAATGCATTAAAACATTAAGCAATAAGCGTTGTTCTTTAGAAAAACAACTTCAAAACCTAATTGAAGGCTGTTCTTTAAAACTGCCACTTAGAAGAATCTGCATTTACTCCAACTTAGTTCCATGGCATGATGGCACCTACAGCACCTCTGCTGAGCTGATCTGCATAGCCAGGTTCCAAGTCAGTCTGTCACAGCCACAGGCTGAACGAAAGAGAGGAAGACCCTCAACAAGATGGATTGACATAGTGGCTACAACAGCGGGCTCAAGCATAACAACCTGGTGAGGATGGTGCAGGACTGGCAGTGTTTCTTCCTGTTGTACATAGGGTTGCTATGAATCAGAACCAACTCGATGGCACTGAACACAACAACAGGCCTCAAATTATTTGTAAAACCAAATTTTCAAGTTCAATGTCAGACATATATTCAGAGATGACCAAGCACAACAAAACATAAGGCATCATGGAACAAGAACCAAGAGGCCATAAAACAACTATTAACAAATTTCAAAGAATCAAATTTTAGAGTATAATTAAGCTAGAGTTAACAATAAGAAGTAAATTACAAAAAAAAAAAAAAACCCACTCATTTTGAAATTATG